GAGGGGGGGGGGGGGGGATGGACTCAGGTGGTGATGACCCGGCCTGGTGCTGGCTGTACCAAGGGATGCCTTCATTCTCCACAGAGCAGCCAGGGGGAAGCTCTGAACGTCACTCCTTTCTCCTGCTTAAAACCTCCCGCTGGCTTCTCGGCACACTTAAAAGCCCAGCGCCTGTCCATGGCTTTCAGGGCCCGTGGGACCTGGCGCCTGCTCAGGTCCCCTCCGATGGCTCCGGCTCAGGGCTGCCACTGCTGCCCCAGGCACTCTGCCGGGTCACTGCTCTGTCCCCAGAGCCTGGACCAGGCCTGGCCCACAGCTGGCTCTCCGCAAATATGTGCTGAATTAATGAATGAACTCTTCAGGAGTTGCGGAGGAGGAGGAGGAGGAGGAAAGTAGGGAGGTGTGGAGGGGCCAAGGAGAGTTGCTATTTGTTCTGGATCTGGACAGACGGGTGGGTGGTGGGCAGGTGAAGAACAGCCTGGGGTGTCAGGTGGCCCCAGGGCTAGCACTCAGGAAGCTCAGCTTGGGCCCAGGACTAAAGCAGACATGGGGGTTACAGGGGGCCATTTATGGAAGCAGCCATGCAGGCCGGGCACATAGTAGATGCTCAGTAAACACGTAAATTCCCCTCCCCTCCCAGAGGCTCTCCAATTATGTTGACTTTTTCTGGGAAAAAGCTTGGGTTTGGACAAAGCCTGTCTCTAACATGCACTAACCTCCCATAAAGCAAAGACCCACAGTGGCAGCTGTGGCTGAAAAATAGTTGTTTCCAGTGCGAATAGAAGGGGTTGGAACGGTGATGAGTTGACCTTGGGACTCACTGAGCCCACCTCTCACCAGGACATGTGGAAACCGAGGCTCCGAGTGGTCAGCCACTGGTCCAAGGCCAAGCGGGTCCTACAACCCAGTCTCCTGACTCATAGCCCAGAGCTCTTTCCCTGGGCCATTCCCATGGGCTAATTTCATTGTGAATCAGTTTTTATCAGCTGTTAGGTTTCTCTCCAAGCCTCTGCTTATCATCTGTAAAATCAGGGCAGTGATGGCTGCTATAGAGGAGGGGTGATGACATTGCATAAATGCCCAGCCCAGGGCCTGGCACCAAATGGCTTTCAGCAAGTGCAAGTACCCTTTTCTTTCCTCTCCTGTGGTTGGCACAGAAGCCTCTGGTGGGGGTGGGGATGGGGCACAGGGCTGCTTGGAAGGGGTGCCCGAACCTCATCCCTGCTGACCTGGCCTGGGATGTCTCTCACCCACAGGGGGACTATGTCTGGATGGACCTGAGATCCGGGCAGGAGTTCGATGTGCCCATTGGGGCGGTGGTGAAGCTCTGCGACTCTGGGCAGATCCAGGTGGTGGACGATGAGGGCAATGTGAGTAGCTCCCCTTCTCCCCCCATCCCCATGCCCTGGGGAGGACACGGGCTGACAGGTGACCTGAGGTAGGCGCCAAGCAGTGACCCCCCTCAAGGGGGTAGAGGTGGTCCTGTGCCCTCACTGTCACCTCTCACTGCCCCCTCCCCCATGGAGTTCTCCTCTTCTGCCCCAGGCTACGTGTTCTATGTCCACAAGCATAGTCCATGCTTTCTAGTGTTAGAGATCTGTGTCTGTGCGGGCATGTGCACATGTGCGGTGAGGCGGCGGGTGCCCCAGGCTGGGAGCTCTTCAGACACCAGTGTGCTTCGGGGTTGGACAGACTAGGTTCATATTCCATCGCCCACTGACTAGCTGTGCAAGCTTTGCCAAGTCTTTTTTCCTCCTGAGTCTCACTGTTTTCTTCTGTAAAATGGGGATAACAGGAACTATGTCACAGGGTGTTGACCCACAAATGAGATCACACATGGAGAACATCCCAGGAAAGTGAGAGCTTGAAAACACCCTTGGTCTCGCTCTATTGCAGCAGTTCTCAACCTGTGGGTCGCGACCCCTTTGGGGGTCGAAAGACCCTTTCACAGGGGTCACCTAAGACCAACACACACACACACACACACAACACACCCTCCTCTCTCACACATGCTCTCTCTTACATACTCACACACACACCCTCTCACTTGTATGCTCATGTGTGCCTCTCTCTCTATTTCTATCTCTCTCTCTCTCTCTGAGAGACAAATTTTGCTTTTCTGCGTTTGACCCTGGGAAGTCACAGATGAAGACTCAGCCCCAGCCCCGCAGGCC